GAGACATCATCAAATGTTTTGGAAACATTTGATAAGTGAATCCCTTTTAAATAAAAAGGATTAATACATAACCAAGTTAACCTACGAGCATAAGCTCTCTCAACTAGCATGTATAAGATACACTAGTGATTGACTTTAGTGCAAGTGGGAGATTGTTGGAAATATGCCCTAAAAGTCAATCCTTGGAAGAAACCTTTCAGGACAATAAATGGATGTATAGATGACTCTTATACATCAAATGGCGAAGATACTATTTAGGACTATCTCTATAAACGATATATGTCCTAAATGGTGAATCCATGGACAATGGATCGATTGAAGAAGTAATCTAATGATGTTAGACTACAGAGACCTTCTTCACATAACCATAATGTCCAAAAGGTTCCTGGTCATAGGATTGTCGGAGGGATACTGACAATGCATAGACCGGTATGTACTATGTCCGCTTCTATTAGAAGGATGGAAAGTCTCATCCCATTCGTGTAGTGACACTAAGACAAGTATATGTAGGTGCTCATTCATTAGGGAATGAGTTCACTGAACACAATCGAACGAGACTTGTACTTGCATGGAGGTCTACTCACATGTCAAGCAAGTGACTCTAATGGTTGGAATAATGTAAGTAGTCATTTGACCTGAGGCATCATCGTTGTCTTGTGGTTAAGTACTTGATCTTTGATTATGTCAAAGTCACTCCATCCGCGGGTGTCCACGGCATAGTCGGGGTTAAGCCACTTAGTCATGAAGGCAAGTGAATGCGCAACAAGGAATCTCTAATCCTCGTTAAGAGAGGATGAATACTCTAAGATATGATTCGGGAATCTTCGGCCGAAGTATCGAGCGTTATAAAGGAAAGCATTCCTATACGACTCAATTGAATCATATAAGAAGGAATAATCACATTAGGGGTTTGACATAACATATCCATACCCTAGTGATGTGATTGAGAGTATTGTTTTAGAGAATGATCGAATTGCATTGTAATTCCAACTGAATAGGTTCTCCGAACAACTTCTACATTAGCTTGGGTAGCCATGATATATGGTTAGATGTCCCTCATGGCTTGTGAGTTCTTCTAGATGATTAAATGTAGTCGTCAAAGAAGAAGGTGAATTAAAAGTAAGTTTTAATTCACTAAGTGATTGGATTAAATATAATCAATTGGATTGGTGCCAATCACCTCACTGCCTTGCTAATTAGAACCTAAAACGATTGTTCACCAATACACTATTGTAGTGAGTAATTAATGGATGATGGAAATAATTAATTGGATTAATTAAGTGTTGTGATTAATTAGAAAGTCTAAAGAAATCATAAAAAAAGAAACGTTCGGGTTTAATTGGGCCCATTGGGCCTAAACCCATTGGGCTTTTATTCAAGCATAAGATGACTTGAAATGATAAAAGCCCAAAAGCCCAAACAACACTAAGGAGGCCGGCCACATAAAGGGAAAGGGAGAGAGAGGAAGTCAAGTGGTTGACTAGGTTTCTTTGTTCTATAAAAGGAACTTTATAGAGATATTTTTCATTAGGGTTTTTGGGTGTTCAAAACAACAAAAGAGAAAAGGAAAATAACTCTCTCTTCAACACCAAAGGCCGGCCACCATAGGGAGATTTTAGCTAATCATCTTTTTCTCCCTTTGGTTATTCCTTCATCCTTCTCACTACACTAGTGGGTGATGATCTTTAGAGGTCTTCAACTTTGGAGACTTGAAGAAAACCTAGGAGCACTCATTTGTAAACAAAGTGGAGGAGGCAAGGAAGGAGGCTAGGCTCAAGGAGTTCAAGGAGCAAAGGTCTTGGAGGTGGTCCATCCTTGGTCTAAGATCTAGATCAAGAGGTATAAAACTACTCCTAAACTTTGTTCTTCACTAAAATGTTTTGATGCATCATATATAAACCTATACATCTTGAAGGGGATTTGCATGACTATAGCTTTGATATTATTTGATAACATGCTTTCGTTGCTTATGTATATAATTTTTGAATTGTATATGCTTGCTAGTCACTAGAAATCCCATATGAATCTCATAGATTTCCCTGCAGTTTGACAGTTGGATCATTGAAACTAGTTTCGTAGAATGTGTATCCCATCAAAACAATAGATTCACCAACTCTTTAAGAGTTTATTCATATTTTCATTAAGTATAACATAAGATTTTGTGGTTTCCACTAGTGTAAATATTTTAAACTGAAGATCGAGTTCATTCATTGTATTCGTATAGGGTCAAGGAGTGTAGTTGTAAAAAATCATCAAAATTGGAATTAAAATCACCGTTAAATCGTGATTTTTTGTTGATAACCGTCGAAAAGTTTTGTCTCGTTACTTGATCTCTGAATGTTTTTTTTTTACAATTTTTTGCATATGCGATCTTGAAGCATATACAAACAAGTTTGGCGGTTGGATCGTTGAAATTAGTTTCGTAGAATGCGTATCCCATTAAAACGATAGATTCACTAACATTTAAGAGTTTATTCATACTTTCATTAAGTATAACATAAATTTTTGTGGTATCCACTCGTGTAAATATTTTAAATTGAAGATCGAATACATTCATTGTATTCATATAGGGTCAAGGAGTGTAGCTGTAAAAAATCATCAAAATCGAAGTTAAAATAACCTTTAATCATGATTTTTCGTTGATAACCGTTGAAAAGTTTTGTCCCGTTACTTGATCTTTGAATGTTTTTTTTTGTTGCTCTTTTTGGCATATGCGATCTTGAAACATATACAAACAAGTTTGATGGTTGGATCGTTGAAATTAGTTTCGTAGAATCTGTATCCCATCAAAACGATAGATTCACTAACATTTAGAGTTTATTTATACCTTCATGGCTAAATAGCCAAAATAGTCCCTGAGATTTGCATAACTCATCACTTTGGTCCCTAACATTTCAAATCGATAAAAGTGGTCCCTGAGATTGTCCATCATCCATCATTTTGGTCATTCCGTTAAAAACTCTGTTAAGTGTCCCGGAGCTCTTGGCCAAAAGTTTGGACAATTTTTAAAGCTTCGTAACTCAATCGTTTCTTAACCAAATTCGACCCCTAATATATCAAAATGAAGATAGAAAAATGTAGAATAAGATTATACCTATTTGGAAGCCCAATGGCTGCTGGAGATGCCGAAAACTGGGTAAACTTTAAACGTTCATAATTTCTTCAATACTCAACAAAATCAAGTGATTCAAAAACAAAAATCATACTTCTTGACGAGATTAAGAGAATGGTACCTTTTTTGACGGCTAAATCGCCATGAGTTGGCTGGACAATGGCTCGAAATTGGTTGTGGTCTTGAGTTAGCCACTTTTGAGCCATTTTCCGGCCAAACCACGGCGATTTAGCAGTCGACAAAGGTACCATTTTCTTCATCTCGTCAAGAAGTATGATTTTCGGGTAAGAAATTGAATGGTATGTATATTTAAGCCGATCCAATGGTCATCAATTTTTAATACTTAAATTAATATATATATAATTATTATAGTATTTTTTAGGGTTATAAAATTATAAAATTAATATTTTGCTATCGTGTTACCCACGTGTATACCCGAACCAACCCGTTATCTTAACAGGTGCTTATCGAGTTACCCGATAACGATTCAATTTGTTATCGTGTCGAACTGAACACTGTTAATTTCATATCATGTCGTGTCGGGTTATTGGGTTGTGTCAGGAATTGCCTATAGTAGCCGTGACAGTAATTCCACCCCTAAAGATTTTGCGCCAGCACCCAGCTCATTTATCCACTCAAGTGAACAGTAATAGGCCAAAGCATCTTCACCCCTAAAAAAATGCGCTGGCACCCAGTCTAAAAATGCGCTGGCACAAACAATCTTCATCCCTACAAAATGTGCTGGCACCCAGCCCATTTAAAATATTTTATATTTTTTTTTAAAAAGAATATATAAAAAAATAGTTTTATTTTCAGATAAGATTTTTAACCAATTTTGGATAAAATTTCAAATAAACTTAAAAAAAAAAACACTAAAATAAAATTACATACTCATCAAATAAACTTAAAAAAATACACTAAAATAAAATTACATAAACTCATCAAATAAACTAAAATAAAAAAAACACACTAAAATGAAATTACATTAGACTCATCAAATATGGATCATGGTTGCAAATAGCACTCATGATTTTGTTGAACAAACTTCGTTGCATTCTAAAACGACGTCTAAAAACATGATTAAGGAATACGCTGTTGGGAATAAAATAATCTTCCAAAAGATCTTTACCTCGTTTTTCCCTTTTTCTATCGAAGTTTGCAGCACGTCTGGGTTTGGCTATCTGACCTACAGCTTCCATGACATGGCAGGAATGTGATGCCCTCTGCCTTCTATGGTCATCATCTGAGTCCTCCTCCATTGCGAAAGCCTCATCTCCACCTCCACCTTCCTCGAGATTGATCAATTCTTCTTGTTGTGCCAACAATTTTTTCTGTTGCTCCACAAATTGTTTATGCACTCTCCTTAAAGAATACATTGTAAAAAAAACTCAAGATTTGAAAACGATGAAGATGGATGTAGGGATGTATGGTTTATATGGACAAAAAAATTAAGGATGAGCTTTTTGGTATTTTTTTTTTCACACAAAAAGTATATGAAAGCTTTGGAAGAAGGTGTAGAAAATATTGAAATGTGGTGTGAGGTAGAAGATGAGTGTTAGGTATTTATAGAAAGAAAAAAAATTAACTTTTTTAAAAATTTTCTATATTTTTAAAAAAAAAATTGTATTTTTTTAATAATTTTTCTATATTTTTTTCATAATTTTTAATAAATTTTAATATAGTTAATTAATTTGGACCGTTGGATTTGAAAAATATTCAAATTCAAGGGCCAAGATGTTGCCACGTGGCCAAAGGTCATAATTCTGACCGTTGGGCCTTTTTTTATTTTTTGTGAAAAAAACGTAGACCGTTGATCTGTAATTAGACTGTTCTTTAAAAGTCAAATTTAAAATTTTTTACCGTTGGAAATCCAACGGCACTGAAGAGGGCCGGTAGCTCTAATCCGGGTGAACACAAGTGGGCTGACAAGCGGGCCCCGCCGCCTGCACCCTTGTCTCCTACTCACATCCAGTCGCGAGTATGCTGTACGCACGAGCCAAATAGGCCAGCCTCTGGGTCTGTCCGAAATGGGCTGGTCTGTTGCCTAGCTTGGGCTGGGTGCCAGGCTGTTTTGCGGGCTGGAGCAGATTGACAGGTTGCTGGGCTGAGTTTTGGACAAGGTGCTGGGCAATTTTGTGTCCGGTGGAACTGCTCTGAGGCGTTAGCAACGGTGAAGTTGCTCTGAGGTAAATTCGATACAACTCTATAAAGAGCGGATAGACAGAGTGTTGGAGAGAGAGAGGAGAGAGAGCAGCGAGGAGAAGAAAATGGGGGGAGGAATGGAAGCAAACAAGAACAAGTTCATAGAGGAGTGGGGATCCGTCAGAGAAAATCTCGAGTACAACTTCCGCTGGACTCGCCGCAACTTCGCCCTCGTTGGCATCTTCGGCATCGCCCTCCCTATCTTGGTTTACAAGGGCATTGTCAGAGACTTCGTAACCCCCTCTCTCTCCTTCTCTCTCTCAATTATTTCTGTTTATTTATATATTTGTTTAATTTTGGGAATTAATCCTGTGGATCCGTTTGGATTTTGCCTAATCGATCGCAATAGGGTTCCAAATATGTTGGTTTTTGATTCCTCAGTAGCTCGGTTTAGACTGTTTTCTATTTGATTTTATAATTTTCAGAAATTGTTTGACTTTTAAGATATCAATTTTCTCAAATTATGATACGTTGAAACATTTGGGTTTTGACCCAAATTGTGTTTTGGGGAAAGAACAGGTGTTTCTTCTTTATTTTTCGTCTGGCTTGGGGGTCGTAAAATTGGTGTAGAATCATCATTTGTGAAGTGTTTGAGCTAACAACCTCTGGCATTTTTAGGGGTTTTATCAAATTCCATCTTTTTTATAAAATTGAGTTCTGCATGAATAACCTTCTGTTGCAGGAGTTAAATGCAGACTGGGAAGCCTTTCTTTCGCTTTGAAATCGTAAGAAAATGCTAGGTTAGATGGGAAAATGGGTCTGAAATGTCCCTCGGTTACTTATCCATATTTGGAGAGCTCCATTACTGTGGGGGTTTTAGAGCATTTGTTGGGTTGTGAATTCTGTTGGAGAAATTAAAGTGATATTTCTCTGAGACTTTGTAAATGATTAACATAGATAGTAGAAGAGGTGTCGCTGTGAGCGGAAATCTTTTTGTAGGAACAAGGGTTTACGGGCCTTAATCAAATCTAATGTTACCAGCCTGAAATCTTCTTCTTCCTTATAACTTTTTTCTTTTAGGGGGGAAGGGGAGATGAAGTTTATAGGTTTTAAGTTAGTTTTCTATTTGATTCTTGTTTTGCATCGTTTTTCTTTTTCTTGTTTGTTGCTGCTGTATATTAGAAGGTATGGTCGCGGTATGGAAGCTCTTGCGAAGCAAGTTGTCCTTCTGCATCAGTGGTGTCATGAAATGCATTTCTGTTATTTTTTCATTGTTTGAACTTGTTCGTCGGCAATCAGTTGCCAAATTACCGGATATCATTTTTGTTGTAAAGTCCTGTCCTTTGTCCAATTTCGTTTCCTCCCCCAGCCTAGTGATTTATATTCTTGTTGCATACTATATCTCACTGTATATTCATTGTTGGACACTTCTGTATTTCCATGTTCACAGTTTTCAGTTGTACTTATTTCAGAGATGAACACTTGTAAGGGTAAAGGCTTCAAAGTAGTCGGATTTTTCAAAAACTTCAGATACTGAAAGTTAATAGTAATATTGAAGGGCTTATTGTTTTGAAAGATAGGTTTAATATTAAGAATCAAGTACTCTTACCCTTGTTCTTTTATACTACTACAAAAACTTTGATTACTTACTAGTCAGTATATTTATCCCTAGTATTTTGCATGGTTGCTATGGTTGGTTAAACATTTATAATGCATCTCTATCTGTTTGGTTGATTACTTGTTCGAGTGAGTTCCCACACTATCACCGCAGAAACAATTTCGACATTCCAGTCTTTGCTTTCAATTGATTAGCTAACATTTGAGTATTCTCTGATGACAGCACATGCAAGATGAGGATGCAGGCAGACCATACAGGAAGTTTCTATGAGTAATCAGAGAATGTTTGACAATAATTGTGGGACTAGTCATAGAATGTTCCCTACTGAACCGCAAGTATCCCTCTCCTGGTAGAGGGAAGTGTTTCCTTTTCTTTGTTGATCTATGGAACGTAATGTTAAGAGGTATGCATTGCGTTTGGATTGTATTTGTCTCTTAAGAATGCTGCACAATCAATGGTAAACTTCTGCCGTTTGTAATATTTCCTCCAGTTCGTTTCCTCTCATTTATTCGGTTTATCTGAATAAGAGATGTGATCATGTTCCTTGAGAAACGGAGGCATAGCCATTGGATTGACACCCTGTCACGTCGAAGTATATACATTTTGTTGGAGTTTGAATGAAATTTCAACTCAAATGTGGGGTATTGTTGGAAATTTGAGTAGTTTGAGTAGAAATTTCCTTGTCCCACATTGGCCATTCCCAAAAGATTTTATCACTTTATAAGGTTTTGTCCTTTAAAGAAAGTGATTGGAGTAATAGGCCTGAAGACTAAAATTGGGCTCACCCTTGGGGTTGGGCTTTGGGGTGTAATAATTAATTGGTAATTAATATATAATTAATATATATTTAATTGTCAAAAGATGGGCCTTGAAACAGAAATTTATGGATCAACAATCTGTAAATGTGAATGGCGCTGTGCCAAAGTACTCAGAAAAGCCTGAGAAGTTCAAAGGTTTGGACTTCAAGAGTTGGCAACAGAAGATGTTGTTCTTCCTGACAACAATGAATCTCGCTCATGTTGTTAAGGAAGAAGCTCCGAAGTCTAATGAGAATCCAATGACGAGAGAGACTGTCATGGCAATTGAAGCTTGGAATCATTCCGAGTTTTGTTGCAGAAACTATATCCTGAATAGTTTGGATGACAATCTCTACGACATTTATTCTCTGTGCAAGACAGCGAAGGAGTTGTGGGAATCCCGGGAGAAAAAGTATAAGATTGATGATGACGGTTCAAAGAAATTTGTTATCGGTAAGTTTCTCAAATATACAATGGTGGATTCAAAATCTGTTGTATCTCAGGTCGAAGAAATCCAGAAGTTGATCTATGAACTGCATTCTGAGGGATGCGAGATCAATAAGCATTTCCAAGTTGGAGCGATAATCGAGGGCTCTAATAATTAAATTATTTAATTAATTATTTTTTCGGATTTACTTAATTATTTTTTAATTAAATTCGAATTTAATTAATTAATTATTTTTTTATGAAAAGACTCATCCTTTCAGATGAAGTCTGAGAGTTCTTTCTGAACACAGAGCAAAGCACCCTTCTGAAGAGATGTCTCCCAACAGTCACACCCAATTCTCATACCTGTTGCAAACAGGCATCTATCTGCTATATATACATACATCTGCATAGCATTTAGAACACATAAATAATAAACTTCATCTTCTACATTCATAAACCTTCTTACTGAGAGAACCACACTAAATTCGCCAGAAGTTAAATTTTCCGGTGCTGGAATTTTAACTTGATCGTTGAATCCTGGTGAAGCAGACGTCCGTAGAACTACAAGCACAGAGTAGGGACGAAATTTCTGTTTCAAGGACATTGCGGTACGCAAGCCTCGATCTTCAAGTTGTCTGTTTTATAATTCATATTCTAGTTTATATTTTGTTAGTTTCTATTGCATTTATTATTTATTAGCATATATAAATTATCACAGATTGTTGACTTATATCCAACACATTTGACTGTACAAAGACGATTGATCATGTAGTTTCTGAATGTATGGTTCAATTCAATCTGTGAACATAAGGCGGAATTTTTTTCTCTGTGAACAAAACACCGCCAAGCTTCTGGTAGCACTGTTACGTTACAATGATGGCGTCGATTGAAAGGACAACTTAGAAAAGTCCCCACTTGATCAAAAGTAACTAGTAAGACACTCTTACATGTGTAGTTCAAATCCTGAATAATAGCTTCCTGGCATCGAACTAAACGCATGAGCTTCTTCAGCTTGCCATTGTGTAAGAATTGTAGAACATAACCATGCCAAACACAAACGGTGCATATTCCCTCATAACCGAAGCCTGAAGCCAGACGCTTGAATCCCCATATATATCGTTAAAACGGCAGGGTTGGCACGGTACTTTCAGACCATGCAGAGTAATTTTGAACCAACTCCAGCCCATCAAGCTCCGCAGCGGGGGCAGTTATTCGGCTTGCGATTACAAAATGCAGATGGCCTCGAGGCTCCCGAAAATAACGCAGACTCGTCAAACTCCGGGAAGGATTGTGTCCATATCGAAGTAAAGTAGACCGGCAGTTTCTAACATGACACGAAAACGACATGAAAATAACGGGTTTCGGGTCATTATCGGATGACCCGTTAAGAACCCGTTAATAACTGGTTCTTAACGGGTATACACGCGGGTAACACGTGGGTAACCCGTTTTGACCCGTTAAGAAAAAAATTATTTTGATAATTTTAAAGGTTAATTACTAAAATATTTATTATAAAATACAATAGCCATATTAATATATACAATATATTCTATATTAAATATATAGTTTTATATTATTATAAAAAAAAGTTTTAGTGATTATTTATTTTTATTATGAGAGTTCCTTATTATCATTACTAGGATAAATTTTACTGAACATGTTGTTGTCCAAATTTAAAATAAACTAATATAGTATTTGTATAGGCAAGAACTAAGAAGACATACATACAAATATGAAAAATGTGAAAGAATATATATACACTCATGATTCATCATTATTCCTTCACGAGTACATAATGGTTACACTTACATTATCGTTTAGATTTTTAAAATCCTCGAAACCTTCATGAATAATGTTTTTTATTTGAGGGCAAAATTAATAATAATTATTGTAGAAGTGTAAAAAATGTAAAAAAATATATACAATCACTTATAATGACAAACTTTACAACTTTCATGAAGGGGTCAGCTAGGCCTGGCAATTCCTAACACGACCCGATAACCCGACACAACACGACCCGAAATTAACAGGTGTTCGGGTCGACACGATAACGAATCGGGTATTATCGGGTAACCTGATAAGCACCTGTTCAGATAACGGGTAGCTTCGGGTATACACGTAGGTAACACGATACACGATAAGAAGAATATTAATTTAATAATTTTATCACCCTAAAAAATACTATAATAATTATATATATATATATATACATATATTAAATTAACTATAACAATTATATATACTATAATAATTATACCCCCAAAATATTAACTATAATAATTATATATATATATATATATATTAAATTTTAAATTAAATTTTATACCCCTAAAAACTATAATAATTATACGTACAAAATAAATAGATTTAAATCAACATAATTAATATATATATATATATACACACACCATTGAACTTGAAGGGATACACGAAACTAATTTCAACGATCCAACCGTCAAACTTGTTTGTATATGCTTCGAGATCGCATACGCCAAAAATCACACAAAACAAACATTCAGAGATCAAGTAATGAGACAAAACTTTTCGACGGATATAAAACAAAAAATCACGATTTAACGGTTATTTTAACTCCGATTTTGATGATTTTTTACAACTACACTTGTTGACCCTATACGAATACAATGAACCAATTCGATCGTCAATTTAAAATATTTACAAAAGTGGATACCACAAAATTTTATGTTATACTTAATGAAAGAATAAATAAACTCTAAGTGTTAGTGAATCTATCGTTTCGATGGGATACAAATTCTATGAAACGAATTTCAACGATCAAACCGTCAAACTTGTTTGTATATGCTTCGAGATCGCATACGCCAAAAATCACAAAAAATAAACATTCAGAGATCAAGTAATGTGACAAAACTTTTCGACGGTTATAAAATAAAAAATAACGATTTAACGGTTATTTTAACTCCGATTTTGATGATTTTTTACACCTACACTCCTTGACCCTATACAAATACAATGAATGAATTTGATCGTCAATTTAAAATATTTACACAAGTGGATAACACAAAATCTTATGTTATACTTAATGAAGGTATAAATAGACTCTAAGTGTCAGTGAATCTATCATTTTGATGCGATACAAATTCTATGAAACTAATTTCAACGATCCAACCATCAAACTTGTTTGTATATGCTTCGAGATCGCATACGCCAAAAATCACAAAAAAAAAACATTCAGAGATTAAGTAATGAGACAAAACTTTTCGACGGTTATGAAACAAAAAATCACAATTTAACGGTTATTTTAACTCCGATTTTGATGATTTTTTACAACTACACTTGTTGACCCTATACGAATACAATGAATGAATTTGATCGTCAATATAAAATATTTACACAAGTGGATACCACAAAATCTTACGTTATACTTAATGAAAGTATAAATAAACTCTAAGTGTTAGTGAAACTATCGTTTTGATGGGACACAAATTCTATGAAACTAATTTCAACGATCAAACCGTCAAACTTGTTTGTATATGCTTCGAGATCACATACGCCAAAAATCACAAAAAACAAACATTTAGAGATCAAGTAATGAGACAAAACTTTTCGATGGTCATAAAACAAAAAATCACGATTTAACGGCTATTTTAACCCCGATTTTGATGATTTTTTACAAATACACTCCTTGACCCTATAAGAATTCAATGAATGAATTTGATCGTCAATTTAAAATATTTACACAAGTGGATACCACAAAATCTTATGTTATGCTTAATGAAAGTATAAATAAACTCTAAGTGTTAGTGAATCTATCGTTTTGATGGGATACAAATTCTATGAAACTAATTTCAACGATCAAACCGTCAAACTTGTTTGTATATGCTTCGAGAGCACATACGCCAAAAATCACAAAAAACAAACATTTAGAGATCAAGTAATGACACAAAACTTTTCGATGATTATAAAAAAAAAAAATCACGATTTAACAGTTATTTTAACCCCGATTTTGATGATTTTTTACAAATACACTCCTTGACCTTATACGAATTCAATGAATGAATTTGATGGTCAATTTAAAATATTTACACAAGTGGATACCACAAAATCTTATGTTATACTTAATGAAAGTATAAATAAACTCTAAGTGTTGGTGAATCTATGGTTTTGATGGGATACGAATTCTATGAAACTAATTTCAACGATCAAACCGTCAAACTTGTTTGTATATGCTTCGAGATTGCATACGCCAAAAATCACAAAAAACAACATTTAGAGATCAACTAATGAGACAAAACTTTTCGA